CATAAATATATATTATTATGAAATAAATGTTAAAGATTTTAATTTTTCAATAAAAATGTTTATATTTAATTTCTATTTAGAAATACCTCCAAAATATAGGATATTGGATTTTAAACATGTTAAATATTTATATATTTATATATTATATAAAAAAATTTTTTGAAAAAAATGAATTCAAATATATAAATAATTTTATATCATTTTATAAATCAAATATTTTTACGGAGAAATCTATCTGTTTTTAATTTTTTAGATTTTTTTAGACTTTTGTTTTTGTATTTCCTTGATTTTTTTGCAGATTTCAATTTAAATGATTATTATAAAAAAATAAGTAAGGTAAAATAAAAATTATTTATCGAATAAATAATTAAAATATATGTTATGATATCTTAAATAAATCAAATATAATCTGGAATCTAAATAAATTAATTAAAATTAATTTAAATTAAAAAAATATATTTTTAATTATTTCATATTTATATATTACAAAAAAATCTTAAAATGATTGATTCATTATGTATCACAAATTTGTAAAAGAAAGAATATTCATGTATTTGCTTGTTCATTTTTTTTTTAAAAAAATATAACATAAATCAATCCTGTACATTTATTTATGTTAATTTTTTTTTGAAATTAAAGAAAAAATAAAAAATATTAAAAAATGAAAATAAAAATAAAAAAAAAAATTAATTTTTTTTAATAAATTATAATATTTGCTATTTTGCTTATATATACAAATTGAATTTTATGATGGTATAGAAAATTTTTTTTTAAAATTAAATTTTATATGTATATTAAATACATATAAAGAAAAAAGCAGAAATTCTTTGGATTAATTTAATTTATTATCTGTTTGAATTTTTTGAAAAATTTAAATGAAAAATTTTGAAAATTTTTTTTTTAAAAAAATTTTTTTTTGTTAATCATATATAAAAAATTTTTAAGTAAGAAGAAACCATTTGTTCTGATTATTTAAAATTTAAAAAGAAAATTCCCCAAAAAAAAGACGAAAAAAAAATCCGAAAAAATTAAAAATAAAAAATCAAAAATGAAAATTTTTCAAGAAAACTCTTTATAAAATATTTTTAAAAATTTATCTTAAAGTTTAAATTTCAAAGGTATGAAAAACAGTTAAAAGAATTATGTGGAATAATAAAATCATTTTCTTTTAATATTTATGAAATTGTAGTATACAATCTCAAATGAAAAAAAAAATAAAAAATTTTAAAATTAAAAAAATAAGAATACCCTGGAATTAAATGAAATTTTTTTACTTCTGGAAAATTTTAAAAAAAAAAAAAATTTTCCACAAAATATTCCACTAAAGGGAAAAAAAAAATTAAAAAAAAAAAAGAAATAAATAAAAATATAAAAAAAAAAAAAACCGCGCCAAGAATATAAAAAAGATAACCAATTTATGGTTAAAAAAACGAACAAAAAGTAAGAAATTGAATTTGAAAATTTAAAATTCATATGGATTTTTATTATAAGGTATGCTTTTGTCCTATTAACTGGAATTTAAAAAAAAGTGATTAAAAAAACAGAAAAGGTAAAAACAAAAAGTTTGAAATACAAAAGAAGGAACTGGGAAAAATGGAGGAAATGATGAGTTTGTTTTAAGTTTTAAAAAGAAATATAGGAAATTATCATATAAAAATTGATTGAAAAAAAGAAAAAAAAATATTGGAAAAAATAAAAGAAATTTGAAGAAAAGAAGAAATGAGAAGAAAAAAAGTAAAGGAAGAAAAAAGAAATGAAAAGAAGAAAAAAAAAACTCCTATAAATAAAAAAAAAACAAACGAAAAGAATGAATTTTAAATACAAAGAAAAAAACTTTAAGAAGAAGAAAAGAAGATGAAGAAGAAGAAGAAGAAAAAAAAAGAAATTTTAAGAAAAAAAGATGAAGAATTTTTGAAGCTAAAGAAGAAGAAGAAGAAGGAAAGGAATTTTCGGAAAAAAAAGAAAAGAGGAAGAAGAAGAAAAGAAAAGAAAAAAGCAAAAAAAAAAAAAGAAGAAGAAGAAAAGAAAAAAAGAAGAAGAAGAAGGAAAGGAAAAAAAAAAAAAAAAAAAGGAAGAAAGAAGAAAGAAAAGAATTTTAAAAAGAAAGAGAAAAGAAGAAAAAAAAAGAAGAAGAAGAAAAAAAAAGAAATTATATTTTGTAATGTTTTAAAACAGAAGAAGAAGAAAGAAAAAAAAAAATAAAGAAAAAATTCAGAAAGAAAAAGAAAAGAAAGGATAGAAGAAAGAAGAAAAAAAAAGAAAGAAAAACAGAATAGAAATAAGAAGAAGAAGAAGAAAAAAAGAAAAAAAGATGAAAAAAGAAGGGAATGAAGAAACAGAATAAGAAAGAAGAGAAAGAAGCAAAAAAGTAAAAGCAGAATAAAGAAAACGAGAAAGAAGAAGAAGAAAGTTCTTTTTAAAGAAGAAGAAGAAAAGAAGAAGAAAAAAGAAAGGAAGAAGAAAAAAAAGAGTGGAAGAAGCAAAGAAAGAAGAAAAAAAAAAAGAAGAAGAAGAAGATGAAAAAAAGAAGAAAGAAGAAAAAGAAGTTAAGGAAAGGAAAAATTTAAAAGAAGAAAAAAAAAAAAGAAAAAGGAAGAAAAAAGCAAAAGCAGAAGAAGAAAGAAAAAAAAAAAAAAATTGAAGAAAAAGCAAAGCAAAAAAGAAAAAGAAGAAGAAAAAAAAAAAAGAAGAAGAAGAAGAAGGAGAAGAAGAATGGAAGAAGAAAAAAGAGAAGAAGAAGAAGAAGACGGAGGAGGAGGAAAAGCAGCAGCAGAGGAAGAATAAGAAGAAAAAGAAGAAGAATGAAAAGAGTAAGAAAAAATAACAGTGTAGGATGAAAAATAGAAGAATTTAGAAATGAGATAGAAATAAAGCTAAAAAAAAGAAATGCAAAAGACTAAAAAAATGGAGAAATTAAAGAGAAAAAAATGAGACAAAGGATCCGAGGAAAAAAGAAAGAGCAAGAAAGAGAAAAATTTTACAAGTCTGAAAGAGAAGAAAAAAAAAGAAGAAAAAGAAAAAAAAAAAGAGAAAAGAAAAAAAAAAAAAAAAAAAAAAAATAAAAAAAATATGAGGAAGAAAGAAAAAAAAAAAAAAAAAAAGGAAAATGAATATCATGAGGAAGAAAGAAACGAGAAGAAAGAGAAATGAAAAAGAGAAAGAAAAGAAATAAAAAAGAAAAGAAGGAAAATGTATATGAGGAAGAAAGAAACGAGAAGAAAGAGAAATGAAAAAGAGAAAGAAAAGAAATAAAAAAGAAAAGAAAGAAAATGTATATGAGGAAGAAAGAAACGAGAAGAAAGAGAAATGAAAAAGAAAAAAAAGAAATAAAAAAAAAAAAGAAAGAAAAGAAAGAGGAAACTTTGAGGAAGAAAAAATGAAGAAAAAAAAAGAAGGAAAAAAAAAAAAAGGAGGAAGAAAGAAACGAGAAGAAAGAAAAATGAAAAAGAAAGAAAGAAAAAAAAAAAAAAAAGAAGAAAAAATGTAAAAAAGGAAGAAAGAAACGAGAAAAAAAAGAAAAAAGAGAGAAAAGAAAAGAAATAAAAAAAAAAAGAAGGAAAATGTAGGAGGAAGAAAGAAAAGAGAAATTAAAAAAATGAAAAAGAGAAAAAAAGAAAAAAAAAGAAAAAAAGAAAAAAATGTATAAGAGGAAAAAAAAAAAAAGAAGAAAGAGAAATGAAAAAAGAAAAAAAAGAAATAAAAAAGAAAAAAGAAAAGAAAACGTTTAGACATTGAAGGAAGAAAGAAATGAGAAAGAAAAGAAGGAAAAAATAAATGAGGAAGAAAGAAAACGAGAAGAAAGAGAAATGAAAAAAGAGAAAGAAAAAAAAAAAAAAAAAAAAAGGAAAATGTTTATGAGGAAGAAACTGAGAAAAAGAAAAAAAAAAGAAAATGTATCAAAGGAAGAAAGAAACGAGAAGAAAGAGAAAGAAAAAAAAGAGAAAGAAAAGAAATGAAAAAAAAAAGAAGGAAAAAAAAAAAAGAAAGGAAGAAAGAAACGAAAAGAAAAGAAATGAAAAAAAGAAAGAAAAAAGAAATGAAAAAAAAAAAGAAGGAAAATGTATATGATGAAAAAAGAAAAGAAAGAAAAGAAAAAAAAAAAAGAAAAGAAAAAGAAAAAAAATGAAAAGAAGGAAAAATGTTTATGAGAAAAAAAGAAAAATGAGAAAAAAAAAGAAAAAAAATGAATATGAGGAAGAAAAAAAAAAAGAAGAAAGAGAAATGAAAAAAGAGAAAGAAAAGAAAAAAAAAAGAAAAAAAAAGAAAACGTTTATGAAAAAGAAGAAAGAAAAAAAGAAAGAAACGAAAAGAAAATGTAAAGGGAAAAAAGAAAAGAAACGAGAAAAGAAAGAGAAGAAAAAAAAAGAAAAAGAAAAGAAAAAAAAAGAAAAGAAGGAAAATGTATAAAAAAAAGAAAGAAACGAGAAGAAAGAGAAATGAAAAAAAAAAGAAAAGAAAAAAAAAAAAAAAAGAAGGAAAAATGTTTATGAGGAAGAAAAGAAAAAAGAAAGAAAGAAAAAAAAAAAGAAAAAGAAAAGAAAAAAAAAATAAAGGAAAATGTAAAGAGGAAGAAAAGAAAAAGAGAAAAAAAAGAAATGAAAAGAGAAAGAAAAGAAAAAAAAAAAAAAGAAAGAAAAAGTATATGAAAAGAAAAGAAACGAGAAAAAAAAGAAAAAAAAAAAGAGAAAGAAAAGAAATGAAAAAGAAAAGAAGAAAAATGTAAAAGGAAGAAGAAAAAGAAAGAAGAAAAGAAATGAAAAGAGAAAGAAAAGAAAATGAAAAGAAAAGAAGGAAAAGAAAATGAAAGGAAGAAAGAAACGAGAAGAAAGAGAAATGAAAAAGAAAAAAAAAAAAAAAAAAAAAAAAAAGAAAAATGAAAGAAGGAAGAAAAAATGAGAAAGAAAAAAAAAAATGTAGGGAAATGAGGAAGAAAGAAACGAGAAGAAAGAGAAATGAAAAAGAAAAAGAAAAAAGAAAAAAAAAAAAAGAAAGAAAAACGTTTAGGAGAAAAAAAAGAAATGAGAAAGAAAAGAAGAAAAAGAAAAGAGGAAGAAAAGAAACGAGAAGAAAGAGAAAAAAAAAGAGAAAAAAAAAGAAAAAAAAAAAAAAAGAAGGAAGAAAAAAATAAGAGGAAAAAAAACGAGAAGAAAGAGAAAAAAAAAAAAGAAAAAGAAAAAAAAAGAAAAAGAAAGAAAAAAGTGAAGAGGAAAAAAAAGAAAACGAGAAAGAAAGAGAAATGAAAAAGAGAAAGAAAAAAAAAAAAAAAAAAAAAGAAGGAAAATGTAAAAGGAAGAAAGAAAGAAGAAGAAAGAGAAAAAAAAAAGAGAAAGAAAAGAAATAAAAAAAGAAAGAAAAGAAAATGTATAATGAAAGAAAAGAAATGAGAAGAAAAGAAAAAAAAAAGAAAAAAAAAAAAAAAAAAAAAAAGAAAAGAAGAAAAAATGTATATGAGGAAGAAAAAAAAAGAGAAGAAAGAGAAATGAAAAGAGAAAGAAAAAAAAAAAAAAAAAAAAGAAGGAAAAAAAATATGAAAAAAGAAAAAAGAAAAGAAAGAAAGAAATGAAAAAGAGAAAAAAAAAAAAAAAAAAAAAAAAAGAAAATGAAAAGAAATGAGGAAAAAGAAACGAAAAGAAAGAGAAATGAAAGAAAAAAAGAAAAGAAAAAAAAAAAAAAAAGAAAGAAAATGAAGAGGAAGAAAAGAAACGAGAAGAAAGAGAAATGAAAAAAGAGAAAGAAAAGAAATAAAAAAAAAAAAAAAAAGGAAAAGAGTATAAAAAAGAAAAGAAAAGAAGAAAGAAAGAAAAAAAAGAAAAAAAAAAAAAAAAAAGAAAAGAAAAAAAAAAATGTAAAATGAGGAAAAAAGAAACGAGAAGAAAGAAAAAAAAAAAAGAAAAAGAAAAGAAAAAAAAAAAAAAAGAAAAAATGAAAAAAAGGAAGAAAAAGAAAAAGAAGAAAAGAGAAATGAAAAGAAAGAAAAAAAATAAAAAGAAAAAAAAAGAAAACGTTTGAATGAGGAAGAAAGAAATGAAAAGAAAAAAAAAAAAATGAAAAGAGGAGGAAAAAGAAAAGAAAGAAAGAAAAGAAAAAATGAAAAAGAAAGAAAAGAAATAAAAAAAGAAAAGAAGGAAAAGAAAAGAATGAGGAAGAAAGAAAGAGAAGAAAAAGAAATGAAAAAAGAAAAAAAAAAAAAAAAAAAGAAAAGAAAAGAAAATGTTTATGAGGAAGAAAGAAATGAGAAAGAAAAGAAGGAAAAATGAAGGAGGAAAAAAAAACGAAAGAAAGAAAAATGAAAAAAAGAAAAAAAAAAAGAAAAAAAAAAAAAGAAAGAAAAATGAAAAGGAGGAAAAAGAAAAGAAAAAAAAAGAAATGAAAAGAGAAAGAAAAGAAATAAAAAAGAAAAGAAGGAAAATGTATATGAGGAAGAAAGAAACGAGAAGAAAGAGAAATGAAAAAGAGAAAGAAAAGAAATAAAAAAGAAAAGAAAGAAAACGTTTATGAGGAAGAAAAGAAAATAAAGAAAGGGAAAAGAAGGAAAATGAAAAAAGAAGGAAGAAAGAAAACGAAAGAAAGAGAAATGAAAAAGAAAAGAAAAAGAAAGAAAAAGAAAAGAAGGAAAATGAAAAGAAGGAAAAAAGAAACGAGAAGAAAAGAAAGAAAAAAAAGAGAAAGAAAAGAAATAAAAAAGAAAAGAAGGAAAATGTATATGAGGAAGAAAGAAACGAGAAGAAAGAGAAATGAAAAAGAGAAAGAAAAGAAATGAAAAGAAAAGAAGGAAAATGTATATGAGGAAGAAAGAAACGAGAAGAAAGAGAAATGAAAAAGAGAGAGAAAAGAAATGAAAAAGAAAAGAAGGAAAATGTATATGAGGAAGAAAGAAACGAGAAGAAAGAGAAATGAAAAAGAGAAAGAAAAGAAATAGAAAAGAAAAGAAAGAAAATGTATATGAGGAAGAAAGAAACGAGAAGAAAGAGAAATGAAAAAGAGAAAGAAAAGAAATGAGAAAGAAAAAAAGAAAATGTATATGAAGAAGAAAGAAAAGAAATGAGAAAGAAAGAACAAATGAGAAGGGAAAGAAAGAAAAGTACAAAAAGTACAGAAAACAAAAAAAAGAAAAAGAAACTGAAATATACAGAATAAATCTTTTAATTAAAAGCAGAATAATATGAAAACTATATAATAATTAACAATATGTATTTATTTATATATTTCCTGTCCCATTTGCGAGAGGAAGGGTGGTAAATGAACTTAAGTTATTAAATTTATATTATTTATATTTATCTTCATTAAGACAAAATTAGTTCCCGAGCAAAATGAACCGTTTAATTAATCAATTCCTCTATTCCTACGTTTTATTAGATAGTAGTCTTTTTTGTTCCTGCCTTTCACGTGAGGTACTCAGATACACTTATAGTGATCGTCTTGCTTCCACTTAATGTTGAAATAGGTTTTGTTCTCGCCGTCTTTTTTTTTGTTATGCTGCTGATCTTTTTTTTCTCCCGAGAGATATTTCCGTTCGAAAACCTCGCAGGGAAAATATAGCGTTACTGAGACAGAACAAGGAAAATACAGACATACCAATACCTGGCCGGGAAAATACAGAGTTACCGAGACATGGCAAGGAATATACAGAGGTATCAATATCTGGCCAGCAAAATACAGAGGTACCAAGAACTGGCAGGGTAAATACAGAGATGCCATTTTCTGGATGGCGTTCACGGGATTATTTCTGGGAATCGCACCTCGCAGGACGTCTTGTAGATAATTGACGTCATAGGGAGTGCGCAGGTGGCAGCAATGCTTGGAAAAAGCCGAGGAAAATGTTCTGTCTCTAAGTTATGACTAAGACAAATGCAGAGAAAATCCCAGAGGAATGAAGAAAACGACAACTTCCAAACATTACCGACTAATTCCATGAACCCTTACAGCATGCAAATTTGTTTAATTCCTCATCACCCATCGAACCGCCAAACACTTGGTGGATAACTGCTTATTATCAGTTAATTAAAATTAAAATAATTAAGCATTTATGAATACAATGATCAACTACTTTCCAATAAAAGCTGAATGGACGAGGCGAAATCATTTTAAAAAATCACAGCAACTTCCTTCAACTATCAGAATACGTTACACGATATTTCTTTCACCTGTATTTTTATACACTAATGTTCATCGTCCTGGGTATGACGATAAACAGCATCCGCGTCCTGGATAAGACGATAAACTACACCCAACAGCAAGGCCTCTGATCAGGATACTTTGAGCAGCGTGGAACCACCTCTTAATTGCTGGTGTTACCAGGTCCACCATGATCCGGGATGATAGCAGCTGTTATGGTCCCCGCTATGGGCAAATAGTTAACCCCACAACTAGAGTCAAAACATTATGAAAGTGCAAATATAGGTTTTAATATCAACAATATATTTTCGTAAAAAATATTACCAGCAATGAATTTTTGAAGAAAAAAATTATTAAAAGCAATAAATTTTAAAATAAGCCATTGAGATGTTGATATGCCATAAAACAAAGCAAACGAAACTAATGTTCACCCGAAAGCCACTTAAGGTAGAGGGATACTGTGTGGTGTCTTATGAGCGTAAGAAAAGGCATGAAGTGAAGTTCATGGGATTATTCAGAAAATATAACGGTAGTGATTGGGAAAGCATCCAGGAGGGAGTCTCTTCCACAAAGCAACATTTCTTGGGAAGAACCTTCCCGAACAGAGCTTAATTCTTACTATAGGGTATACCAAGAGAATGGGGGGATTCACACTTGTGTACTTGGCATAGAAGGCCCCATTTGTAAAGGTCAGGGGTGTTGGAATTAATTAATGTTGCTCGTCAGAATACATACTACAGAGTGGCGTGAGGCTCCTAAAGTCTCGTCTGTGGGAAAGGAGCTGTGGAGGGATAAGTCATCACCCACAAGGTCAGGTAGACGCTTTTGAACCGTATTAATACAGGCATGTGCGAACTGGGCAGCTCCAGACCAGATATGACAGCAATACCCCATTTTTGGTTTGATCTGATAACAGCGGGAGTCAGATACTTACTCAAGCCGTACAATGAGCCAACACTTTTCCCAGTATTTTTAGCATTAGATCTGATATATGAGTTCGCCTTGAGGTCTGAGGAGGGATGCAGGGCAACTCAACACCGCCGACTCAACACCGCCGACTCAACATCGCTGACTGAACGCCGGAACAACTCAGGAAAACTCAGAACCGGGACAACTCAGCACCAGAAAAACATAACATTTTATAACCGAATAAAAGTAATTTATTAATGATTAAGACCTTAATTAGTGAACATTCTTCAAAGAAGGCATTTGAAAGGGCATTATGTAAAATATGAACGCAGTTTTATTTTGTTTTAATTATTTTTAATAAAGTAAATAATAAAGAAATTTATTTTTTAATAAAGTAAATTGACATATAAAACATAATTCATTAAAACACTTGTTTTTAATTATTTTTAATAAATTAAATCAAAAATACAAAACAAAATGATGCCGATTTTTGTTTTTAATTATTTTTAATAAAGTATATCGAAATTCTAAAGTATTTTTCTAAAAAAATAATTTAATAATGTACGATTTATTTTATTAAAAATTATTAAAAATTAAAAAGTGGTTCATATTTTACATAATGCTTTTCAAATATCTTATTTAAAGAAAAATAGTCATTAATTAAAATTTTAATCCTTAATAAATTACTTTGAGCCCGTTATAAAAAAAATAGTTGTTTTTCTAGTGTTGAATTGTCTCGGTCCTGAGTTGCCCCGGCGCTCTGTTGGTGGTGTTGAGTCGGCGGTGTTGAGTTGTCCAGGCGCTCAGTTGGTGGTGCTCAGTTGGCGGTGTTCAGTCGGCGGTGTTCAGTCGGTGTTGTTGAGGTGTCCCTTCCAACTGAAGAGAGCTTGAATCCCAAAAAGATGTTCAAGTTAAGAAAGGAGAGAACACCCATCCATTCTGGAGAAAGTTCAGACTTCAATGACTACACCAAAATGATGTCAGGTTTGGAAAAATGGCATAATCACGGCCATCAAACATCTATAAGAGGAGGTCCCATCCGGATACAAGTGTTCGAATGCAGGCGACAGAATATAACACGCAAATGAAAGAAAGAAAATATTCGAAAAGTGTACGACAAATGAATGGTTCTTAGGTGGAATGACATGATAGATACTGACATTGGGGATGGAGTTATCACCTGAAACTTAAATATCATCGATATCCATACAAAATGTACCATTAGTAAGGAAGAAGTTCTGAAACAGATTTTTTTTTCTCATAAATATTACACTGCGGATAAGACACCCGTAATGTTCTGTGTTGAGAGCTACCCTCACACTTCTCGCTTTTCTTGCTAGCCAGTCTAGGAGAAAGAGAGTACAGAATTCAAAACCGGTTAGGGCTGGGCTGGGCTAGCCTCGCCTCGCCTCGCCTCGCCTCGCCTCGCCTCGCCCACAGAAACCGCAATATCAAAACCTAATGTGCTGGAGCTGTGTCTCTTGACACCACTTCCATGTCTACAGAATTAACCTTCATACATGCACGAATATAAACAATATCGATAGTTGAAAATGAAAATATATTTTATTACAACATTAACAGCTGCCGTCAGCAGTCTGGATGCTGGAAGTTGTGAAATAGCAACATCCGGGAACGGCAAAATCTGAAATACCAACATCCTGACACTGGAAGATGATACATTTCAACATCCGGGTAATGAAAGATGATACATTTCAATATCCGGCCAACGGAAGACGTGATCTAACGTTCGATAAGTCGAAGATGCCAGTGAAGATTCCAACACCTGGTCATTTCGCAACATGTTAGACTCTCCTGGCTTCTTGCTTTCCAGTCAAATTTGATCTTCACAAATTTAAATCTAAATCTATTGTTTTTTGTTTTATTTTTGCATTAAAATTTTGTTTTATTTTTCTATCTAAATCTATTGTTTTTGCTTTATTTTTGTATTAATTTTTTGTTTATTTTTGTATTATATTAAATGTTGTTTTATTTGTGTATCTAAAACTGTTATTTTGTGTTTTATTTTTGTATTAATTTTTTGTTTTATTTTTGAATTATATTAGATTTTTGTTTTATTTTTGTATTATATTTTTTGTTTTATTTTGTATTTTATTTTTCTATCAAAATCTATTGATTTTCCTTTATTTTTTGTATTAATTTTTTTTGTTTATTTTTTGTATTATATTAAATTTTGTGTTATTTTGTATCTAAATCTATTGATTTTGATTTTATTTTTGTTTTTTTTGTTTATTTTTTATTATATTAAATTTTTGTTTTATTTTTTATCTAAATTATTATTAAATTTTTTTTTTAATTTTTGTTTATTTTGTATTATAAAATGTTGTTTTTTTATTTTTGTTTTATTTTTGTATTATATTAATTTTTGTTTTATTTTTGTATTAAATATTTTGCTTTATTTTGTTTTTTTTTTGTTTATTATATTAAATTTTTGTTCATTTTTTTTGTATCTAAATCTATTGATTTTGCTTTATTTTTGTATTAATTTTTTGTTTATTTTTGTATTATATTAAATTTTGTTTTATTTTTGTATCTAAATCTATTGATTTTGCTTTATTTTTGTATTAATTTTTTGTTTATTTTTGTATTATATTAAATTTTGTTTTATTTTTGTATCTAAATCTATTGATTTGTATTAATTTTTTATTTTTTTTGTATTAATTTAAATTTTGTTTTATTTTTGTATTAAATTAAATTTTGAACTTTTATTTTTGTTTTTTTGTTTCTAAATTATATTAAATTTTTGTTTTTTTTATCTTTTTATTGATTTTTTTATTTTTTGTATTAATTTTTTGTTTATTTTTTGTATTATATTAAATTTTGTTTTATTTTTGTATCTAAATCTATTGATTTTGCTTTTGTTTTTTTTATTTTTGTTTATTTTTATATTAAATTTTTTTTGTTTATCTAAACATAAAAATTTTTTTATTTTTTAAATTTTTTGTTTATTTTTGTATTATATTAATTTTTGTTTTATTTTTTTTTAATTTAAATATTTTTTTTATTTTTTATTTATATTTATTTTTGTTTATTTTTCAATATATTAAATTTTGTTTTAAAAAATATGTAAATTTATTATTTTAATTAAATATTTTAATTTCAGTTTAAGTGTTTTTTATTTTTTTATATTTCCTTTAAAAAAATTGTTTATTATTTAATTAAAAACATTTGTTTTTTTTATTAACCTATTTATCTTCAGATCTTTTAAAACACTTTTTTTTTATTGTTTTCTTTTATAATATTTTTTCTTATATTTTTTTCGCACTCAGTAGTTTTTGAATGCAGAGGCTGAGTCCGGATGGCAAAATTACTGGTCAATGATTGAATGTCTTTGTCAAGGTTTTGGATATAAGACCAAAAACCATGCGAATAGTGCAGTCGACTGCAAGAATGTTGAAGAGTCAACACGCTTCCCTTGCCCACATTTCTTAGAGAGGCTAGCCCACACGTGGCGAAATGCGAAGCCAAGTAGTCGGCCTATGTCCTCCTAACTATCGTCCTCCTGCTAATTCCTAGAATCGATGCTATTGTCCTTCGCGTATAATAAAGCAAATAGGAAATATAAATCGTGCATTGCTTATATATGTATCCTTAATGTCGGAAAGACGGAAACCAGTGGCAACAAGAAACGTAACTGTTATGGTAGGATCCACCTAATTTGCATAGTGGAGTACCGACCATATAAATATGGTTGGTACCGGGAAGAGAGGGAGGAATCAAGAGATTCAACCCAGAGACTCTGCCCGACTGCGACTAAGTCAACACATTCTCCAGGAACGGTTTTCCCAGGAATATACAAAAGACTATATGTAAATATTGTGTACACTTTCTTGTTTCAATACATTTTGTTCTAAGTACATTTTGTGTTGCATTATTATTCCATGCATTAGTCAAGTTTCAACAGTAACACAAGTTTGGGACCAACCGCTGTCAATCCTACATATTCTTATAAAATACACCTCTTACTCTCTCCTTGTTCGCCCTTATATAGAAACTGATTTTGCAACCCTCTGCCTTGAATGGCTCTCGGGCTTGTTTTTGTTATATCGAGTCGAATGCCTACATACACACACGACATCGTATGATAGAGTCCTTGTGAGCTCCGCAGTCCTTTCCTAAGCTCCATAGTATCTGCTTCACAAAGGCTACATACGATTTTTGAATTCAGAGGTATTCTTCTACTAGACTGGATGCCATCCAAGGCTGAAAACCCTAATCTGTCTTATTATTTACCCATAGTTAGAGGTTTTTTTTTTTTTATTCAGAGTTGCCGGTTGCCACTCAAAGCCATAGAACCTAGCCTGTCCTTCTATACCTGGGGACAGAAGAAACGCATCTTGAATCTCGCTAGATAGAAAAATGATTATCCGTAAACGTTTCTCAAGTCAACGACTGAAGGGATTCCCAGTTCTATCCACTGAAACTTTAAAAAAATCGCTCTTACACCAGAACATAGAAAAAAAATGGGACAGACAAAAAATATGAAATCAAAATGTAACGGAGAATTTAAATTTCAATCAGCATCTTCTTCTATATGCCGATCATGGCTCTCCGCAACTTCCCATTTCATGTGGCTCATAGCAGTTTCTATTCCTTCACGAAGTCTCCTGTGTCTAACATGTTGCGAAATGACCAGGTATTGGAATCTCGCGTAGGTATTTCGCTGGCATCTTCGACTGCTCGAACGTTAAATCGCGTCTTCCGTTGGCCGGATATTGAAATGTATCATCTTTCAGTGACGGATGTTGAAATGTATTATCTTCCAGTGACAGGATGTTGGTATTTCAGATTTTACGGTGCCCGGATGTTGCTATTTCGCAACTTCCAGCGTCGGACTGCTGATGGCAGCTGCTAATGCTGCAATAAAACACATCTTCATGGTCGAATATCGACATTGTTTATATTCATACACATATGGAGGTTAATTCTGTGGACACCGAAGTGGTGTCTAGAGACACCGATGCAGCACGTTAGGTTTGGATGCTGTGTTCTCTGTGGGTGAGGCTAGGCTAGCCCAGGCTCTAATTGGTTTTGAATTTGGAAGTCCACTTCTCCTAAACTGGTTACCAACCAAAGCTAGTGAACTTAGTCTCTTTTGCTATTAACAACGGCCTTGGAGATATTAAGATATTATTTTAGCCCCAGGACGCACCTATGAGAAAATAAATCCTGACACTATGACTGAAACATCCACACTGATCATTAAATCTATCTCAGTTTGCTCATCTCTCTCTCTCTCTCTATATATATATATATATATATATATATATATATATATATATATGACAATTGTATATTTAGGCAGCAATCCTTCGTTTATGCATGTTTCATTAAAAACGACAGACAAGGCACTACGGTTAAGATTTTATTCAATTTTTCTTGTTTTCGAACAAGAGTTTTCTTTTAGCGACAAAGAATATGTAAAAACTGTCCATATGTTTTATAGTTCTTTCGGCTATACGTTTAGCCATTATCAAGGATAATTCAGTTTTTCAGCTTAATTGAGTGTGTGTAATATGTGTATGGTTTAAAATTATTATACAGATGTTTTTAATTTCCGAATACGGTTAGCACATTGTGGCCTTGTTCGTAGATAATATTGTTAAGTGTTGGCTTTTTCATTTTTATTATTAAAGCTTCCATTATTTTTAATCTTTTTTACAAGTGGATGAAGTTATTATGTTTATGTTTTCTACTAGTATGTTACTAATTGAGTCTGGTAAGTTTGCTAAAAGATAACAGTAATAAAAAATATGACAACACATTTTATACTTCTCGAATTCACTCTCGCGTGGTCATATGTGACGTCATGAGCTGCGTTGTGATTTTCGCTTCTAGCGTCTTATATGCACGTGTTTATCGTTGCTTGGAAATCATCCATGTAAACAACAACAGACTATCATCACTGTCTTGTCCGTATATTGCTTAATATGTTGTACCGTAATTGACATCTATGATAATGGCTTATGTAAGCCAAAGCTTAGATTGGATTAAAAAATATGGATCAATATTGTGATTTTCCTTCTTCGTTTACTGATAATGTTATTAAGCTTATCAGACGTTATGAAAAGATATTACATAAAATAGATAGACACCACTTGTCTATATTATTTAATGAAACATGTATGAATATATATATAT